TATCTTGAACAGACATCTTATTTTCTACTAATAGCATTTATTAATCAAAATAGTAAACTGATGTATGCAAATACACAGCAGGGCTGATATTCAAGCTGGTATAATATGTCTCTACTTTTGGAGTCTGTGTTGTTGTCAATTTATTCGAGTTAAGATGGGGGATGGGTGTGGATTATTTCGAGGCTCTAAATTAAACTTTAACAAGTACTTTAACAGCATTATCTTCTTTGTATTTCTTTCATAAATTAATGGTATTTTACATTACAGGGCGGAGAAGCTAATAGACCTTGTAAAAGTGCTTTAAAAACGCATAGCCACGACAGTTTGTGATCTTTTGAGCAGCACTTCTGCTTAGCTATCTACCTGTAACTGTCAGTCTGTTAGTTCAGCCAGAGACAAGTTCAACTCTCTGTCACTCCAGTCAGTCTCAGTGCTGTGGGGGAAGGGCGCGCGCGCGATCAGTCTCTCTCAGTGCTGTGGGGGAAGGGCGCGCGCGCGATCAGTCTCAGTGCTGTGGGGGAAGGGCGGCTGATCACAGTGTGAGCAGATCTCAGTCAGACTGACAGTCACAGGCAGAGCTAGGGTTAGGGTTAGGGTTAGTGCAGATCCAATGGCTTTTAAAATCAAATTAAGTACAAAATAATTATGTAAACAAACATTTAAACGTGTCAGCTTGATTCATGATTCTTTTAAACACTTTTTTTCTTTTGTATGACTATATGTAACTGCTCTGCCCCCCCCCCCCCCTCTCTCTCTCTCTCTCTCTCTCTCTCTCTCTCTCTCTCTCTATCTATCTATCTATCGATTTATATATATATATATATATATATATATATATATATATATATATATAGGCTATATATATATATATTGAGAGATAGATAGATAGAGAGAGAGAGAGTGAATGTATGCTGTAACTGCTCTCCTCTATAAACAGTTCTTATCAGTCGCTTTGGTACATTTCTTGAATCATCCTTAAGATTTGCAAACAAGGAAAGTGCATTTCGTACAAACAGCAGAACACAATAGGATTACATGACAGCATTTTGACATTCTTGTTTGTGACACAAGGCACTGATATGTTCATTGATATATATTGTACTAAGGATTTTTAACAAGTTACAGGCTTTTGATGGTTGTCAATATAACTGTATCAGTATTTTGAGAAGTAAACACTGGCTACGATTTTGATGACAATGAAAAGACTGCACATTATCTGTATGACACATAAACACATGTACCCATTATGAGACTGGACTCACAGATACACTGTTGGTCTGTTAAAAAATGACAATGCCATTGCGATGAACAGACTATTCAAACACATACTGTATATGTGTGTGTGTTACATTATGTCTCTATCAAGTATATTTATATAGCGCTTTTCACAATATAGATTGCATCAAAGCAGCTTCACAGTATCAATCAAAACATAATAACAATGTTCGTTTCTTAGTGGAAAAACATCCACGTTTGGTAGAGCTGATCAATGGTATTAATGATTGGTTAATTAATTTGAATATCCCCAACTGAGCAAGCCAAAGGCAACAGTGGCAAGGAACCGAAAAACTCCATCAAGTGACCCGATGGTGTCCTAAAACTCCATCAGGGACCCAATGGAGAAGAAAAAAACCTTGGGAGAACCCAGGCTCAGTGGGGGCCAGTTCTCCTCTGGCGTTTATGAACTAGAGGCCGGATTTACAGTAACTGCAAGGTAAAAATGTATATGAATGTCTCTAAACAGACTTTAAACGTGAACCTGTGATTAACGCTGATGGCGTTCACATGCGCATTAAGAATTGATTCTATAGTTATGTGCGTTTGAATATATGTGCGTAGGTTTGTATTTCCCTAGAAAACCATGCCTGAACAAATTACTTGTCTATAAATTTGATACATAATTTTGTTTTATTTTATCACTTCGGGGTAGGTACGCGAAACTAGATTCACAACGCTTTATCTGTAGAGTTTATTGTTTATTGTTTATTATTAGAGTTTATTGTTTATTGTTTATTATTTAGATCCCCATTAGCTACTCCATTAAGCAGCAGCTATTCTTCCTGGGGTCTTAACAATTTTTCAACAAAATATTAACATCAAGGCTGTACAACAATGAAGACAAATACAGAAGTGCACACAACATCATTTAAGATATCTAATTAGTGGGAAAGGGATCTCTATCACGTATTTTTACTGTCTCATGTAAAATGCAAGTAGACTCCACTGTAATACAGTAAGTCTACAGCTTATGGTGAACAGTACAGTATAGTGAACACTGTCTGATTACACGCATGTTCTGTCTATAAAGACTTGAATGTTTGAGGACACACACGGTTGTTCTCCCAACATTCAGCTCAGCTTTCAACCCGCCTCGGCCATGAGGTCATGAACATGATCTACAATATTGGCCCCTATTTCTTCAGAAACCTACAATCTCTCTGTTTTACCTCTGTATCCTTCCACCACACATCCTTACTCCTCCTCTTCTTCTTCTCGGCTGTTACCCTGTTGTTCTTCCATTCTCAGAGTGTGTATGTGTTGTGCTCTGTCTATATGGCTTCCAGAGGAAGCTTCATGAGATGCACTCTGAGCGATTATAGAGAACTGGTGATCATTGATTGATCTAATGCTTTACATTCCCCTTCATTAGTGAAATTCAAAATTCACATCTGCAATTCAGGACAAAAAAAGTATAATAGAATTGTATAGAAAATATGTTTGACAGTTTATGACAACTAGTAATTTAATGCCTATATGTTTTGAGGGGTAAGACTATTCAACAGAGAACCAGTATAATACATTTTGATCAACATGACATAAGCAATTGATAATGTAAGAAACAGCAGACACTTACATTTATTGCATGAATGTACCAAAGCATTTGCAATTTGTTCAAAAGAATGATAAACTGCTTTCATGATGTGCACAAGTGACTAGATGATGTGGAGGTTGAACAAGAATTTTAGTTGTGATTTGAGAAATGCACCAAAGCGCCTTAAAAAAACGTATGTAATTAGTGTAAACATTTAATTAATATAATAATATAATATGAGAATGTTTCATGCAGCTGCTCTCCTCTATATAATATAATATAAAATAATATAATATATACTACAAAGAGAATGTTTGCTGTAACTGCTCTCCTCTTTATATAATATAAAATAATACAATGCAATATAATATAATAAGAATAATGTTTGCTGTAACTGCTCTCCTCAATATAATATAATATAATATAATATAATATAATATATAAAGAAAAAAGTTAGCTTGTTTGCTGTAGTGAATGTGTTGCTGTGGTAACTGGTAACGGAGTCCTGTCCTGCTCGTGCGGGGGGTGGGGGAGGGGCGGTGGCCACTCAGGGAAATCACTGATATTATGAGAGGAAACGGCAGAACGCAAAGTAGGAGAAAACACTTCAAACAAATAAAATCACTCATAAAAGCAAGCGATTTAGCATGTTTTCACATCTTTTGGTGGCTTGTGTGTTTTTATTAAACAAACTTGGATGAATAAATCATCACATCCATATTGACAGATTTAAACAGCTGTTCCTCCGCTTTTGGAAGAAAATATGTACTTTGTAAATTCACATGACGTAATGTCTCTGTCTCTTCCCCGCTTCAAACTCGTTCCTACATGATTAATAAACTCCTATGTAAGTTACTGTACAGCTGTATAGTCTCGGTGACGCGCAGCAGCGCGATCTTCACACACACATAACGTTACACAGAGCAGACTCCGATGCGAGAGCAAAACTGCGAGGATTAAAGTTTAATAACATGCCCATATACATCGTGAGAGCTCCTGCTGCTCAGGGTAAATTAGTCTATTTTTATTTAAATAATAATTATTGCGAATTTATCTATTATTGAATGTGGATTATCTGTCAATTCATTCATAATAATGATATCGCCTCCGCTCCGCCATTTTTGTTGATGACGTGATGGCCTCAGATTGGTCAGATCATTAAGTCCCGCTCTCATAGTGGCTTCCTGCGCTCTGATTGGTCAGAATCCCCGAAGTGTGTATCTTTTCCGGAAGTGCAGTACTCCTAGAGGGCGCTGTGTTATACACACTTTAGTGGGGGGGCATACACACTTCACATACACAAATCACTTAAAACTGATTTTTTGGGACAAGTGAGATTTTAAGTCTGGACACCATTTTAGAGTATGCTGAATGCCATTATATAGTCAAACAAATGAGGACATACAAAATGTCCTCAATTTTTGAGGTGGTCCTCAGTTTACTGGTGTGTATCCTGGTGAATGTACCCAAAAGGGACATAAACAAACACACACACACACACACACACACACACACACACACACACACACACACACACACACACACACACACACACACACACACACACACACACACACACACACTCAAAGTCACAAGTTTTCCCTTGGTTTCGAACAGTAGATTCTGTTCAAATGTTAATGTTAAATAAGGTTAGCTGTTAGGCTAACATGGTTAAAAATTTCCACCACAGGTTGCAGTGTGAGTATTTGCAGTGCGTTTCTGTATTTAGTTGTGTTGAGTATTTGCAGCGTGTTTCTGTATATGGTTGCGTTGTGAGTATTTCCAGCTTATTTCTGTATTTGGTTAGGTTGTGAGTAGTAACGCGTTTCTGTATTTAGTTGTGTTGTGAGTATTTGCAGCACATGTGTTGTCACACTGATAAAGATGTTTTCTTAATTTGCTGGTGTTATTTCTATTTGCATGTGTTTTCTTCAGTTGCAGCGCGTTGAGCTCTCTTGGCCACCATAATAAGCACATAAAGACAGACTGTTGACTCTGCTGATGGCACTGAACTCAAAACTTGGTGTAGAAACAATTTTCACTCCGAAATTCCTTAATTCCTAAATTTCATAGATAATTACAAAGAAACGGCAAGCAACATGAAAATTTGAAGTAGAAAGATTGAAATACTCTACTCTAATAATCTGTTTGTAAACAACTTGGAAGAAAACATTTGTGTACAGTGTACCTGTGGTCCAGTCTACGGCGATGCAGCGCCTGTGTGAGCAGCTCGGAGGTGCTTTGGAAGGAGCGTCCCAGCTCGTCTAGCTTCTGCTCCATGGAGATGATTCGCTGTTCAAGCTCATGATAAGAGCTGTTCCAGTTTGCACTCAGATCACACATGATCATCTGCATCTGTTTGAGGACAAAGTCCATTTCCAGACAATATCCTTTTCTTAGATTTGCTACAGCTGTATTTCACGAGTGTAAGCACATAGGTATAATAAGACACTGGACATCTGGTCATTTTCTCACTCATTTCTCACAAAAAATTTGGGAGGTACAATCTCTGGAAGATGACTGTCATGAGTCTTGTTTTTCTTTTTATGTGCACAACCATAAGTTGCACACCAGACACTGTCAGACATTAAGGTAGTTTTTACAGAGATGTTTATGGTTTCACAGAACATTTATATGTCTGGGTTAGGTGAATGCCTCTTTATTAGGGCAAACAGACCGAGACACCAGTCTGATGTATGTCTAGACTTACCTTCGAAAGATCCACCATCTCACTGGCATAGTCCCTTATCTTCCTCTGCTTCAACCGCAAGTGACGAAATCTAGTTGTAGACAAAGACATGCGTTCATTTACATTCATCGCCTGGTACAATGGTTTTAAAGGAACTCTAGTCTGCTGGGGTTCTCTATGTTGGAGATGTCAATCCTCTAATAACCATAGAATGCAAAAAGGGGGCAAAATGACCAAGGGACGGGTGCGGTGTTTCTTCAACAATCCTTTAATTGCTTAATATTCAATGTATTCTTCATAAATCTTGCATGTGAGCCTCAGTAATGTCATTTACATGGGCTGGTCATAGGTTCATAAAAAATATTATACAATTTTTGTATAAAAGTGTTTGTAAAAGGGGTCAAAATAGTGTTATTTTTGTATTATTTATATACTATTGATATTAGTGTATATTATTATATATTAAATTTGAATTATAGCTTTAATTGTCTATATTTTAATTTTAGTTTAAGTTTTATTCATTATTTTATATATTTTTATCTTTTTTTAGTTTTTCTTTTTTTATGCTTTAATTCATTTTTATTATAGACCTGTATGCATTTCTTACATAATCTTGACTGATACTTTTTTTCTGTGAGTTTTGTCAATAATATTTAATTTAGTGACACCCTGGATTTGTCAAAGTTTTGTGACTGCCAATTTCATATTTTGTTTAAAAAAAAGACATCTATATTTGTAAAAGGGTCAGTGTAGTGTAGTCAAACATTAAGTTAAATTAAAATTTCTCACATAGACATACGTTAGTTATATTTAGAATTAATTGCACTTAATGTCATTTTTTATGTACTGTACATGTTAAGCGAACAAATGAATAATATTGAAACATTTAAACATTTCTGTATAATGAAGATAAAAACAGGTCATTTTGATCCCCTTTATGCATTCATCTCTTTTGGGTCTTTTTACGGTTAAATTCAAGATATTCTTTTGTAACCTCGAGTAATGAAAGTTTGTGTACGTCAGGTTTTGCAACAGGCTGACTGGCAGATGTCTCTGAATATGTTGTGTCCCAAAAAAGCAAAACGGAAACCAGTTATTGTAGGGGAACCATCAGCAACTGCCAAAGCATGCAGACATGACCGTGTGTCAGGAGCAAAAAGGAAACACACCAAAAAGCACAAAACAGAATGACTTCCGAACTATTTGGCGGTCTGCTTGCTGCCATGCCGTTTTAGCTTTCACTGCAGCACCCACTTTCTTTCCAGAATATTCTTGGTGATTCTGCTAACATTCAGAAATCCCTCCACCCCTTACAGCCACAGATCTCATGCATACACACATGGAACATTCTAAGAGACCGATTCCTGTAGTCATTAACAATGCTAAACTCTGGTGTAGATTCAGACATCACAGCTTCCTATGCACTGGTCATGAAGGAACTGCAGCCAAAGAGCAGCTCTCCCCAATCTCAGCCCTTTATCTGCGGGATGATGTGAGGACTACTGTAAACAGGTGCTCAACAACCTGCTGAGAGATGGGGAACTGCAATTCTTGCAATGACCACAAAATAAACAACCGCAAGAACATATAGTATGCTTTGCACTGCATAACGTGATCTTTGTGAAACTGACTTGTCATGTATGATTTTATAGAAAATGACCAAGTGGAATATGAGCAGTTCCCTCGAAGCAATGAAGCAATGTCCTACTCCAGTGTCCATAGGGTTTAAATAGTAAAATAGTCCAGGTGATGGTCCAGATTGGTGACCTATTGCATGATTATTTTTATATAAGCATTATCATATCAATTCATTAAACATATTATACATTTCATATACTCATGTGCAGGAAATGGCTTTGATGAATTGCCTGAGTTACAGTAAGCATATTCTAGCATACATATTGAAGTTTATAACTAGGTTCTTTATAAACAACTAGTGTGTGTGTATATATATATATATATATATGAAGAGTTCAGATGCAAAAGCCTCTAAATGCCATCTGAAATTTTCTTCTAAAATGATCATTTTTATCAAGCTCGTATATTTAAATTCAGTAATTTCACTTAAATGACAATTAATGGGTAATTTTTCTTGCCATTCAAGTGAAATTATTGAACTTAAATATACGAGCTTGATAAAAATGATCATTTTAGAAGAAAATTTCAGATGGCTTTTAGAGGCTTTTGCATCTGAACTCTTCATATATATACAGTATATAGTAATCATTTTGTATAGCAATTTTCTCAATGTTTCGATTTTTTTGTAGATTCCAGGTTTTTTAAATAGTTGTATCTCGGCCAAATATTGTCCTGTCCTAACAAACCATACATCAATGGAAAGCTTATTTATCCAGCTTTCAGATGCTATATAAATCTCAAATTCAAAAAATGGACCCATGTGACTGGTTTTGTGGTCCAGGGTCACATATATATAATTTGAAGTTATTTATTAGAAGCCAAAATACTTAACATTGAACATACTAAGCCAGTTATTGCCAAAAGAGCGTAACTACACTTTATTGTGGGTAAAGCCTATGGATAGCACATGAGTCAAAATGTCTGACACCACGTGTAAGCCCGGTAGCTCAACCATGAGAAGAAAACTGCTGAAGATGTATTATGAAGCTTATTTCGTGACAAAAAGCTGGATGATGGAGTAAATGTAAATAACCAGACGTCTCTTATTATTATGATTATTATTATTACATTATCATATTGAATAAAATAGCCAATTTGTTGTTACAAATAGCTGATTTAATTATTTTCATTAATTTCATCTTTTTCATTTTAAATGTCAAATCAAAGACTTTTGTGTAATGAAATAACATTTATATTTAATCATTTAGCAGAAGCTTTTGTTCTAGCTAATTACAAATTAGAATATAATAATAGAGTATCCTAATAGAAATCCTTTGTAACATTAATAATGTCTTTTTTATTAATAATACTAAAGACATTTATAATGTTACAAAGGATTTCTATTCCAAATAAATGGTGTTTCTTTGGCAGAAAATCAAGTGGCTGCGCCCCACAAAAGAGGATCCAAAATCTGACCAAGCTTGAAGTTGGAAAACAGGAGACCAGAGGTTATCATGGAATGGAACCTAAACAGTTATACAGATGTCCACCATAGGATCATGCTGTGAAAAAGAAAGACTTACACTATGTGCACAAATGGCAGTATCCTGCAGTCCTGCAGAGTAGGCTGCTATCTACATATAGCATACATCTGATATACAAATCCATCTCAAATGTTCTTTAAGACACAGATTGTTTTTGTTTTGTTGTCATGTCCTCAATATTCAGTAACCTATTTCATATATGCTCACTGGAGCCTATACTTTCAGTTGGTAATATGGAAAAATGTTATTAAGTAATTGTTAATAATAATTATTTATGCGATTCATTACTTCAGTATCATTCAGTTAATGGTATTTGCTATCATAGTATTTTATTATTACAAAGGTATCTGTTATCTGTATCTTGAATCGCCCATTTGGCCAAATTGTTAAGTGGCTGGGATTACTATTTTTGTCAAATTAATCACTTTCAATTAACTAATTTGATGTAAGGACATTTTATGTGATATTTTATCACAATAGATTGTTATTTATTCTAAACTCATTAATGTAATGCTTAGTTCATATTGTCATCAGATGTGCCCATGTTTTCATATAAATGGAATGAAACATTGGTGCCAAAAAGACTCATGTGACTTTTTTTTTATTTAAAAAAAATTGATTTTTTTTTCCGGAATAAATGTTAAAATAGTGTTTAATAAGTGGTTTTGGCCCTCCTGTAAAGTTGGAGAAATGTCACTTACATTTGGTGCTGGTTCTCACCCCTCGATATATAATGATATAATGATAATGATAATATATATATATATATATATATATATATATATATATATATTATAAATTAATAATTATATAATTTAAATAATATATTTAAATAATTTAAAAGGTGTTAATTTGTATAGTAACAATGAATATACATAATGAAATCACATTTTATAATATTTATATTTAAAACATAAATTACATAAATATAACAATTATATATATATATATATATATAATAAAGTGTCACATTATTTTTTTCAAATATTGATTTTTTCCAATTGCCCAAAAGTATTTTGTCAGCTACCCAAAGATAAAAAAATAAAAAAAAACCTTCTCAAACAAAATGTCTATAGTGATTTTCTATGCCTGATGTCTAATGGTTGAATGCACACACTGTAATGGATCACTCACACACGGATAGCCTCCAGCAGGCATCTCTGATGATGTCGATGCTCTCCGCTGTTGTCCTTTGTCTGGGTGGTGCGATGCAGTAGCCAACATTCTCTAAGCACATCGGCTGCTGCGTGCCGGATCTGCACCACAGAGAGTATTTCAATAATAAGTAATCCATTCATCATAACTATACAATGATACTCTATTGACAGTCTGCAGGCCATTCCTTAAGTAAATAGTTGCATGTTTAAATTGTTCAGCAGATAAAATACTGAAACTACTATAAACGTTTCTGGCCATTAAATTACACCCGGCAACAGCAATATGATGATTGTGATGTGTAAATGGCAAAATACAACACATCAGAGTATTACTAGAAAATCTGGACAGGATGTAAGAAATCTGTGCGGTTTATTAAAGAAGTGGCCTTGATGGAAACAAACATGGAAAGGGCGGATAAGTATTGGTTATTTTGAGGGTGATTTGAGGATGAGAATAGCTATATTGAAGTTATATATGGGTTATGCACGGTCAACGTCTTTCTTTTTTAATCACACAGTTCTCTACTTTCTTTGATTCTATTATTGTCTCTGTGTCTTCCTGTTGAAGACCTGCTCATAATGATGTCACAACCTCCCTGCCAATTTTGTGCATTTGTGGTTATTATTAGTGTGTCCAACTGTGTCCAGATGTCTTTCTTTAAAGTATCATCAAGGTAAATCATTGCAGGATCTGATGAGTTGGACCTGTGGCACGCTACACACACACACACACACACACACACACACACACACACACACACACACACACACACACACACACACACACACACACACACACACACACACACACACACACACACACACACACACACACACACACACACACACACACACACACACACACACACACACACATCAACACAACAAAACCTGTGACAGGAAATAGCTTTTGCCAAGTTGAAAGCACAGGTCCAGACCTTTATGAATATGTTGTAGGAATATTCTGGGCTCAGTTGAATTTTGCTCAATCAACAGCATGTGTGACATAATGTTGAGGAAAAAAAAACTATGTCCACTTGTCCCTCCTTTTCTTAAAACAATCAAATTAAAATTGGTTTAAAGTGAGGCAATCATGATAGAAATGAATGTGGCCAATATGTGAACGTTAAAATAATATTTCAATATTGCCTCAATATAAATAATATGTTTGTTAACATGATTTTAGTGTAAGTACTACTAAGTTTTTCTGTATAAAGTTTATATATATATAACATACTATATATAATGAACTTATTTAGCCTATAAAAATCTAAAAATGAATAAATAATATGTTCAATATGTTTTTGCTTATAAATGTTAACTTTTACAACTGCCCAAAAGTAATTTTCCCAGCTTTCCCATATAATTTTGAAAATGAGGGACAAGGTAAAATGTATTTTTTTTGTAATCAATATTATGACAAATGCTGTCGATTAAGCTTAAACCCCAGAATATTCCTTTACGAACTTGCTTTCAGCGGTGGGAAACGATCTAACGTAATTTTCAGTCAATTCTTGCCCCCTCAAAGCAATATGGTTTCCCGTCCATTTGTTGAAACTCTAACCATTTACCATCTTCCTCTATGCATTTATTTTGGGGTCTCTCCTCCTTCCTCTGATAAGCAAACAGATGGATCCTGTTAGAGGAGTGCAAGCCACCCGCCTGTCCACCTCAGCATCAAGACCTTCTCTCCTCCCTTCTTTCCCAGTGCATACGCTAAGGCTCACTCACAGGACACACATCAGTGCATCTTATTTCCTGTCTGCAGTTAAACTTCTCATGGACTAACACAAGTTCTTTTCCTGACAGGGACCTGATTGTTTCCTCCCTTTGACGCCTTTTGTCGGCTATTAAGAGCTCAGCGGCCGTCTCTGCCTGGCCAACCTAAGCATTTTCCCACACTGTGCTGCTGTTTGGAATTCCCTATTTAAGGAAAAAATAATATTATAAAAAGCCTCAGAAATCATAACACACATTCAATGCGGAAAATAATGCTGCTTCCATCCATGCCTCTGCATCCTCTGGGTCACTGCTTTTTATGTTTCTCATCCGCAACCGAGAGATATTTTTAAAGATTAAGTTAAGCATTCCCAAATGGCTAAGCTAAGTCTAATTATCATTAACATATCTCTTTTTTTTATCACTACCAAATCGGTCATAAGGAAATGACCAAGTACACATAGGTGTGGAGAAAAAGACAGTAAAGAATTGAAAGAGAGTGGCATTTTTCGGGGTATTTTACTGTGGTGGACAGTGTGCTCACCCGCTTGGAGATCTGAATGTCCATCATGAAGAAATGCACATGTTTCTCCCCTTTGTTAAGCGCCAATTTCTTAGTCATGACTGCTACCAACATAGCAGTACATGCCACACCCTGACAACAAACACACAGACATGAGCATGGTTACCATCTGTCTCATTATCCCAAACATGTACTCAGACATAAAATATTCAGACTTAATGATATTCAGACAGTACACAGAATTCTTTGTAACAAGTGTATAAATAATTGTCGGCGGGATGGAATATAATGGTATTTATTTTATTCAAATCCATTTCAAAATTTAGAAAGATTTTCCTAAATAAATAAATAAAACAAAATATAAACAGAAGCATTACATGGAAGAACATTATAAAAAAGTGTGTGTCTCTATGAGGAATGTATGGAAGCTTGTTTCCGCCACAGAATAAAACATAAAAAAGGGAATTGCGCCTTTCAATTGTGAGTTTACATCTCGAAATTCGGACTTTTTTATCTCACAATTGCATGATATAGAGTCACAATTGCGAGTTATAAAGTCACAACTACGTGACATAAAGTCAGAATTGTGAGGTATAAACTCGCAATTGCGAGAAATAAACTCGCAATTCTGACTTTCTTTCTTGCATGCTTATATCTCGCAGTTCTGACTTTATAACACGCAATTGCAACTTTATATCATGCAATTGTGAGATAAAAAGACGCAATTATCTTTAAAAATGTTTTATTCTGTGGCGGAAACAAGCTTTGAATGTTTCCATGTAATTTTACACTAAACAGTTCATTTACCTGAGCTCCTTAATTTGTTGCATTAGAGAAAAAAATCATTGAGAGATAAAGAAATGGAGACAGAGAGAGAGAGCCAGTTAGTTGTTATGGAAAGAAATAATAGTTAGCAAGCAATAGTTTAATCTGTTCGCTTTAAGGTTGCTTCATGGTATTGACTAAAAGGGCTGAAAACACAAAGGCCTACAGTTTTTCCATAGTTGATTATTCACAGCAGTCAAAGAATATGGTAAAGTATAAAAACTCCCCTTAGTCAATCATCTCAGTAAGCCAGAATGAATCAATTCAACAAGCAAAATCTTTAATACAACCAAATTTTTTCACAAGAGTTTCTCCCTCAATGCTCTTTTACTCTGCTGGCAGACGATGTGAATTCCTGAGTGTTATAATCAAAAATATGGAGATACACATTCATCTTTTGAACTGTCCCCACCCTATAAGTAGAATTGTCTGGAATTCATGCAAGATGCAAAAAGGTAAACAAAAATTCTTTATTAGTATTTTTTTCTTGTTTAAAAAAAAAATTGTACTTACTCGGGACGCAAAACGGCACAAGATTTTTAGGAAATATTTTCAGAGAATATATCTTGAATTAAGTGTCTTATACAACTGGCTGTTTTCTTATTGTTTGTTATTGTTTTCTAGCTCATTAGAATTAATGAGGTTTAAGCTTAAAGCAAGGTAAAAACAATTAGTCATTTATGAGCAATTTAAAAAAAAACTAAATTGCGTAATAATTATATTTATCTTTTTGGGGAATAAGAAAAATACTGATTAATATATATAATAATTATACTTTTTTTTTTTTTTTTTTTTTGCAGTGCAGGTATGCAAGACAAACACACAGACGCTCCATCATACTTCCAGTTAATGGGTAACAGGTGATGATGGAAGCTGATCATGCCATTGGAAAGTCGTTAAAGTCTCGTCTTTATGTGGAGAAAGTGATAGGAGGCATTTACATGAGGCAACCAGGCATGTTGAACACTACGCTTGAGTGAACTACAGGTGAGAGGCAATCCCCCACTAATGAACTGTTGATATACTGTTCCAACTGGATTAGGAAACTTTTTTTTTTCTGGTTTTCCAAGTCTTAGGCACAGGTTGGCACACCCTCCTGATCTAGTGGCGCCAAATGCTATAAACCACCTAAAAATGGCAATGGTGGAAAGTTTTCCCTAAAAAAAGGGGAAAGCTTATAAAAACACTGAGCGAGGGAGAGAAAGAAGAGTGAAGGATTATTTTCCACTGTGTCAGGGAGGTGTCTGGCTTTGGCTTTAGCCCCATGCTCCTGTCGTGTGAGCCCCATGCTCCTATCCTGCCGGCTTATCTGTCCTGATCGGAAATGAGGGATGGAGAGAAGAGAAGGGCGGACAGTACGGTGCAGATGCAGCTGGCTAAGTCAGAGTGAGGCTGGAAACCCGACCCTCAGGATGGAACATACACCACAAATTCCAAACACATACTGGCACAGGCTCTTACGTCACTGTAAACATTCGCTAAAACGTTACAATAAGGTTCCTTTTGTTAACATTGATTAATAATGAAGAATACTTCTAAAGCATTATTAATCTCGGTTTATGTTAATTTAAAAATGTAGTAATACATTATTAAAATCAACATCGGTTGATATTATTTAATGGACCTAAGCTAACATGAACTAACAAAGACCGTTGTATTTTTATTAACTAACATTAACAAAGATTAATTAATACTGTAACAAATGTATTTCTCATTCTTAATTAATGTAAGTAAATGCACAAACTAATGTTACCTTAACTAAAATGACCTTATGTCACTACTTATGTCACTACTCGGTTATAATACTACTTCAATTTTAATTATGTAATAAAACTATATTTAATACTTATATTAATATTTTAAAATAATAATATTATATAATAAGCTTCTTGTTGTAAACTTTTGACATGAAATTTATATGTATCGTCTATATTTTCAGTCATTCGGTCTGAAATGATCTTGTACGGGTGTAACCAAAGTACTTGGTTTACAGACAAAACAATCTGTGTATCGTATTAATCATTCCCTCCCCCCTTCACTTACTGAACTCTATGTTCAGATACACCCCGATGCACACAAACCCTGAGAGTTTATATTTATTCCATTTTTAAAACCTTCATAATGCCTTAAAGACATGATTTCAACATTATACAACAAGACAAATAAAAAATAATTTTTTTTTTTTTTTTTTGGATATTTGTTAAAATGCAACTCATTCATTCAGATCAGTGATCACCTCTACAATACTTGTTTGTTAATCATGATTGAACAGCCTCTGTATGTGAGATGTCACAGACCATGATTCTATTTAAAATCATAAACTGTCAGCACAGCATCATAGTCAGACTCCAGTGTCTCTGTCAGGAAGGGTGGAAGAACAGCTGTAACTGTAAAAAAATGTGTCCAGATGGACGTGGATCTCATAACTCAGTCACAATGCTTTATGTGTGATGAAGCAGAAGCTGCGACAACTACACACATTAAAAAAAAGAGGTGTTTGCCATTTAGGAGGCAAACGACTTACGAACAACATACACGCTTGCTAAAGAGGTGTTTTTAAGAAAACCGTAATTCATTTATTCAATAAATGTTAACATTATTCATTGTTCACATGAGCAATGATTAAGTGAATGTAATGAATCTAAAGTAACACAGTTTCCGGTTTGTTTTGAATAGGGCATAACCAAAAAACGTCTCGTGGTTCACATGGAGTGAGCTGTAAACGGCTCTGAACGATTCACAGACAGTGACGGTTCAAAGCACTAGTTCACGAGGGAGTTTGTGAATCTTTTTGACTCAGTCAAGCAGTCATTAAAATGAACCAGTGCACAAGAGTCGTTTTTCGCGACATCACGGCACGTGCTGTGTTTGTTGTTGTGACAATATATCATATTCATGGTATGCAGATATAGCTGAATTATTGTCGCATTTACGACTAGTCGTAGTCGAGAGACCAATAATGTGTTCAGCTAACAATGCATGTGGTTACAAAGTCATATGATAATGCTAAACATACTCTATTACTTTATTAAACCAAAGATATGGAGCTCAATGAATAATTAGTCCTCTTTGTCTTTATGAGCAAACATATTTTACTACTGAACATGTTTAATACTCTAACAAATACTGCACTTTCATAAATAGCACATAGCACAACAAAAACAAATTATGTTGTCAATAAATTCATAATTTATTGCATTTGTCTCAAAAGGAATTATATTTACCATGACGCCTGTGAAGAGACACACCAACTTCCCACAGCTGGTGTGAGGGGACACATCTCCATAGCCCACTGTGAGGAAGGTAATGGCTATGAGCCACAGTGCTGTGTCCATGCCACCTGTCTCGACCTGCTTCTGCCTATAGGTGGAGACAGAGAGCAGCTGTGTCAATAACTCAGAACAAAAGAAAAACTCAGAACATCTAATTAAACTGAACGAAAAGACAACAATGTTAAAGAATGACTCTGAAAAAAAAAAAACACTAGAATGTTTTGTTTGAAATTTGACATTGAACAATGAGTTCTGAGTGCAGAAGAACAACATGTTTGTTCCTGAAATAAATCTATTTGTAAGAAATGACCACAACTCAAATTGACCATCAACATCAGAATCAGCATGATAACACTTGATGAGCTGTAACGAGTCAAGCAAGAGGAAGCAAATGGAAAAAACTATAATATATACTGTTGCATATGTGTTTTTCTCTTCTAGGCATATGTGTTTTTCTCTTCTAGTAATTGCACGTTCTGTACCTTTCACAGAGCCGCAGCATCCAAGCAGCGGAGAGCCAGAAGAACATAATGAAGACCAGCAGCGTGCGGGCCGGATACTTGTTCATTAACACCTTGAGCACAAAGCGGAAGCTGAAGTTGATGTTGTTGAGCGAGCCGATGCTCCTGTAAGAGGCGCTGAGGAGCACCTTGCTGTGTAACAGGACGGCTCTGTGCACGAGATACAGTCTCAGGAACATGAGGGCCGACAGCAGCAGCTCCACATCGAGCATGACTTCTTTGTGACTGGAGGACAAGCAGAGGGGGGTAGAGGAATTTTGCTCCGGTTTCCCCCCAAGTCTGCCCCCCATATCTGGCCTCAGGTAGATGGCCACAGGATGGATAGCACAGACAATGAGCTCCAGGGAGATGCCAAGCACTCGGTTACTGGTCATGGCAATGCGCCAGTCCACCTGGTTGTGGTCAATGATGAAAAGCTTGAAGAAAGGAAAGAAAAACAGAGGCAGGATGTGTATCAACAAGAGAATCACTTGATTGATATCATAAGGAAGCAATGATTAACAAAGTATGGCAAAGACGAGAAAGTGAGCAAGACGTTCTTGATTCACTGTGAGAAGGGTGCCAAGATAAACACAGCCCTGCCCTCCCTGATAGGACGTCCAGCTGTAAACTGTTTTGCTTGTGAAGGACAAGTGTGTCAGTGAAACTACTCAAAACCATAAATCACAAGTGAATGCCTCATTAATTACATGACACAAAAAATATCAAACATGACTTAGAGCTGAAAATGAGTAACACCATATTAATCAACAGCCGTCTTGATTACATCAGACAGTTTGAAAAGTACATGGACCAGAATTTGGTTGTAAGTGTACAACCGCTACACTTATTGTACCAGTTCCAGCTGCTGTAAACTCTGAAAAAGTTTGTCTGTTAAATTAATAGATTTAACCATTTTAAAGTAGATAATAAAAAAATGGCACAAAAAAAGGAAAATTCATAATAGGCCTACTTGAACTGAACTGCACCAAATGCAACATATTTAACTGTAACATAAATCATCATACCTTAATCTAATCACAATAGTGTAAAGGATAGTCAGTGTTTCTATGTTCTTTGTATGTTTGGGTGGGTTCTCTTACGAGAGGTTCTCTCGTATTGCGTAAGCTAGCTTACGCTACGGGAAAGATTCATCTTTTCTGAGAAATTGAAGCCAAAAAATATCCTATAATTTTGTATCCATTGTCAACGCAGTTCAGCTGCAGCAGACCATGAGCGGGCTAGCTAGCAGCTCATTGGTTCGCTCACAGAGAACTGCTTAAGCCTATGAGGAGACGCGAATTAACTCTCGGCCAATGAGAGTCTGACATGCTCTCATTACGTCAGAGCCCGCCGAAACGGGCGTGGTCAGAGAAAATAACACTGGCGTCCTAGGCTGTAAACTCCGATTTTCATCTCTTCAGCGAGGCTACACGCATCTGCTGATTTTTACAAAAAAGCTTCCTATACTTATTTGTATCTAAAAGAGCCGAGCGTCTTTTTAAAGATGTCTCGTAAATCCTCCTGCGGTTCTTGCCGCGCTCCCCTCGAGACTGGAGACCGCCACGTCATCTGCGCTCTCTGCCTCGGATTGGAGCACGCCGAGCTCGCCCTCGCCGATGGCGGCTGCGATCTCTGCGAGGACATGCCGTTGTCGACCCTGCTGGCTCGACTTCAGGCCACTAAAGTTGCTTCCGCGCCGCCTCTGACTTCGCCGCGGAAGAAGAAATGCCGCTCTCAGAGGCCGCCGGAATCCCAGCTAGAAGCGTTCATCCCGCCGGAGCCTGTCGCCTCCCGCTCTCCTTCTCCGCCGCTTCCGGACATACAGTTGCCGCCGAGTGGCCGCTCTGTCGCCTCCGATGACGCCGCGGACATTAAGGAAACCTGTTCGCTTCTCGCTTCAGACAGTGAGGAATGGTCCGGTTCTCGTGCCTCCTCGGCCCGAGAATCCTCTGGGACCCACGCTGGAATCGAGGAGGAATTAGTGCGCCTCCTCTTACAGGCCGTCGAACGCTTCGGGCTCGATTGGTCCCCTCCCCCCGAGCAGACCATCAACCGTATGGACGGCAGCTACTTCCGCCAGCGCTCGACTCCTGTCACTAAACGGGCCGCGCCCTTCCTGTCTGAACTGCACGCGGAACTCACGAAGTCCTGGAACGCCCCGCTCTCTGCTAGAGCTCGCTCTGACTCTTCCGCCCCGCTTCGCGTTGTGGACGGAGCCGCAGAAAAGGGCTATCTTTCCATTCCCCCTGTAGAGGACCTGGTCGCCGCACATTTATGCCCGCCTTCCACGAGATGGCGCTCATCACCTGTGCTTCCCTCTAAAGCCTGCAGAGCGACTTCAAGCTTTCACGCCCGTGCTTACTCAGCCGCCGGCCAAGCAGCCTCTGCACTTCACTCCATGTCCGTCCTTCAGATACTACAGGGTGACATACTTCGTGAATGGGACGAGAGCGGGAAAAAATCCCCCTTCAGTCGCGGATTTGAGGAGCGCCACGGACATTGCCCTTCGCGCTACAAAATCTGCTGCTCAAGCCCTGGGGAAATGCTGAGAGACATTGTGGCTCACACTCGCCGACAGGGGAGATTCTGAGCGCGCCGCCTTTCTCAACGCCCCGCTCTCTCCATCCGGCCTCTTCGGATCTGCTGTCACGGGTATCGTCGACCGATTTTCCGAAGTGTAGAAAGCCTCCCAGGCCATGAATCTCTCTCTGCCTCGTCGCGCTAGCTCCTCTGCAGGCCGCTCACGTGACCTGCCTCCTGCACGAGCCCCACCCCAGCGCCCAGCTCAGCACAGTCAGACTTCTCAGTGACGCCAGGGCGGCCGCCCTCGTTCTCGCTCTGACAGCCGCCACAGACCGCTGCCTCATCGGGGGCCTCGGCCTAGGATCGGGCTGAAACCCGATCACTCGAAGTCTGCCTAGCACTGCTGAGAAAATGCCGGCGCTCTCCCGCCGCGGCCGGACCGCCGTCAAAGTTTCGCCCTCTGTTAGTCCCCGCTCACGCGTCTACTACAGCAGTGTATTCCGCCATTACCAAGCCGGTCTCCCTTCCCGCTTGCATGAGCACAAACGCTGTTTTCACGGCGACCCAGAAAAATCTCATAAAGAGCATAAAAGCCTCCTGTGTAAAAAATGTGCCCACAACACTGTGTTCACTCATACACAAAAGCACTTCAGTTCCCGTGTTTCACACAGAGTCCACTCTCATAAAGCGGTTCCAACCCGCTTGAGTTTCAGAGTGCATAAGTGCCCGTGTGTGCGTCCCATCTCTGCTCACTCTGTTACACGGCCCATAAACTTCTCTCTGAGTGTAAGTCCCGCTGTTATAAACACTATGAGCGCGCTCACGCAGCCCGCTATGTGCAGCGATGGGGACCATGTAGCCATTCACTCTCCAAACACAATAAGGTTAGGCTATCGCTTACAGTTCCACCGCCGGCCTCCACGTTATCGAGCGCGGCTAGAAACTATTGTGAACCCAGAAGCACCGACACTTCTCCGTTCAGAGATAGCAAAGCTATTGTGCAAAAGGGGCTATAGAGAGAGTTCCTCTGTCTATGAGCGAGTCGGGGTTTTACGGCCGTTATTTTCTGGTTGCCAAGAAAGACGGCGGCCTCAGACCAATCTTAGACCTCAGATTTCTGAACAAAGTTCTCATGAAGAGACCGTTCAGAATGCTCACTATCAGAAAACTCCTCGCGCAGGTGCGCCAGGGCGACTGGTGCATTTCACTAGATCTGAAAGATGCTTATTTTCAGATTCAGATTAATCCCCTTCACAGGCCATTCTTATGTTTCGCCTTCGAAGGCCAGGTTTATCAATACACCGTCCTTCCGTTCTGCCTATCCTTTAGCACCCCGTACATTCACGAAGTGCATGGATGCGGCGCTCGCCCCCCTGCGGAGTCAGGGGCTGCGAATACTGAACTATTTGGACAACTGGCTGATTTTGGCACAATCACAGAGAGAGCGACTGTCTCATCGTACAGTTCTCCTCGACCATCTGAAAGCTTTGGGCCTCTCTGTCAGCTGGACAAAGAGCGCACTACAACCCAGTCAGACTATCTCCTTCTTGGGTATAGAGCTAGACTCGGTCACGATGACGGCTCGTCTGTCAACACAGCGCGCGCGCCGTGTTCAGCGTCTCGCCGCATCTTTTCAGATGAACAGACTCACACCTCTGAAAACTTTTCAGAAGGCGTTGGGTTACATGGCCTCAGCCTCCGCGGTGCTCCAGCTGGGGTTACTGCGCATGCGCCCGCTTCAGCTCTGGTTGAAGAGCCGTGTGTCTCACCGTGCGTGGACCACGGGCCGCCAGCTGATAAATGTAACGCAGACCTGTATCACAGCTCTGCAGCCATGGACTGTGGCAGAATGGTTTTAGCGGGGCGTTTCCATGGGGACCCTTTCTCGCCGAAAAGTCATCTCGACAGACGCATCCAACACGGGTTGGGGTGCGGTCTGCGAGGGCTCACCGGCCTTCGGCCCCTGGTCAGCTCAGGAGAGCCTCCTCCACTTAAACTGTTTGGAGATGCTGGCGGTCGAAAACGCGCTCACGCGCTTTCTTCCGCGCATTCACGGTCACCACGTGCTGATCCGTTTGGACAATATAGCCGTGGTCTCCTATCTAAACCGTCAGGGCGGAGTCAGATCCAGGAATCTCTTCCGGCTGACAGAACGCATCTTAGTTTGGTCCCAGTGTCACCTGCTCTCGCTCAGAGCGACGCACGTGCCGGGCCATCTGAACGACGGTCCAGACAGTCTGTCCAGGAACCCCATTCCCCCCGGGGAATGGTCCCTGCACACTCTTACAGTCCAAAAGCTGTGGCGAATATTCGGCAGAGCAGAGGTGGACCTCTTCGCCTCAGAAGAGAACACCCACTGCCCAATATTTTTCTCAAAGAGCAAGGACGCGCTAGCCCAGACCTGGCCCAGCCGCCCGCTTTATGCATTCCCTCCGGTTTCTCTGCTACCACAGGTGCTTCAGAGAATCAGGGAAACACGCCACTCGGTGCTCCTCATAGCCCCGCATTGGGAGGGTCAGACTTGGTTTCCGGAGCTCACTCAGCTGTCACAGACAGCCCCGTGGCCCATTCCAGTCAGAGCAGATCTCCTCTCCCAAGCTCGCGGCACGATCTGGCATCCCCACCCAGAGCGCTGGGCGCTACATGCGTGGGTGATCAACGACTACCCGTCGCTTTGCCAGAGGGAGTGTTAAACACGATCACGCAGGCTAGGGCGGCTTCTACTAGAAGGCTCTATGCGTCTAAATGGTCTGTGTTCTCTAAATGGTGCACCGACAGAAATTTGGACCCACGGTCATGCGAGGTCCCTTCCTTGCTAGTTTTTCTCCAAGAGATGTTGGACAAGGGCAGGTCCCCGTCCACTCTCAAGGTGTATGTGGCAGCCGTCGCAGCGTTCGTTGAACCCCGGCGCGGCCAGTCACTGGGCAAAGAGGGCTTGGTCATCCGCTTCCTCAGGGGAGCTAGAAGGATGAACCCCCCGCGCCCCCCTTCGGTGCCGATTTGGGACCTTTCCATAGTTCTCGAAGCTATGAAAGCCCCCCCATTCGAACCGCTAAACACCGTGGACCTCAAATACCTTTCGCTCAAAACCGTTTTTCTGCTCGCACTCGCGTCAGTAAAACGTGTGGGAGACCTTCACGCGCTGTCCAGTAGCGCTTCCTGTCTCGAGTTTGGGCCCAATGACTCCTTAGTCGTTCTCAAACCTAGACATGGTTATGTCCCAAAAGCGATTGGTACCCCGTTCAGGGCACATGTTATTTCGCTGTCGGCTCTGCCTGCATCCGATAACGAATCTGACTCTAATCTCCTGTGTCCGGTCAGGGCCCTGAGATTCTACATTACTCGCACTGCTCCGGTCAGACGACCCGAGCAGCTTTTTGTTTCGTTCGGTGGGCGCACCAAGGGGTCGGCCGCCTCGAAACAGACTCTATCCAAATGGATAGTTGATGCAATTGCAGCCGCATACGCATCAAAAGACCTGCCATACCCTCTGGGCATCAGGGCTCATTCCACTAGAGGCTTCCCCCTCCACCTTTGTCAGATTTTACAATCTGGAAGTTCCCGCCTTGCAGGCTAAACTACTAGCAGTCTAGTATGTTACAGCTCTTCTGGTTGAGCTGCACTATAGGGAGTTATTCACACAGACCGGTTTCGCTCTGTCCCTCTCTATCATGTGCTTATGTACTACACAATCTCCGGCCCGCTCTGCTGGCCTTTGTCACATGTACATATATATTTATTCCCACTCTTAAGGGTTCCCCGGGGTCTCCCCTGGGACTCATAGTGGATGCTTAGCACGCTGACGTTGACCAGGTGTTCCCGTAGCGTAAGCTAGCTTACGCAATACGAGAGACCCTCTCGTAAGAGAACGAATCGGTTACCTAACGTAACCTCGGTTCTCTCTAGATGAGGGAACGAGTATTGCGTTCCTGGCTGTGCTTGTGCTACTAGCGTTCTCGCTTCATTCTATGAAAACCAGAGTTTACAGCCTAGGACGCCAGTGTTATTCTCTCTGACCACGCCCGTTTCGGCGGGCTCTGACGTAATGAGAGCATGTCAGACTCTCATTGGCCGAGAGTTCATTCGCGTCTCCTCATAGGCTTAAGCAGTTCTCTGTGAGCGAACCAATGAGCTGCTAGCTAGCCCGCTCATGGTCTGCTGCAGCTGAACTGCGTTGACAATGGATACAAAATTATAGGATAATTTTTTGGCTTCAATTTCTCTGAAAAGATGAATCTTTCCCGTAGCATAAGCTAGCTTACGCAATACTCGTTCCCTCATCTAGAGAGAACCAAGGTTACGTTAGGTAACCGATTCGTTTTCACATGTTTAGTTCTGTGTCCTAGTTTTCCGTTCAGGTGCGTTCGACTTCGGCTGTGACTGGATACAATCGGTCGGCGAGAGTCGGGGGGGGGGGGGGTGTGACACTTTCTGCTTCCCGTAGTGACGCTTGGATACTTTATCTTTGTAATATTTGTAAAATAGGCCTACATAGATGTTTCAGAAACATTTTCATTTAGTACTTGTACTGCTTAATACAGAGTCTGTTTGTAGGCTACAATAATAAAGTTCAACATACGCCTACTCTATTTAAATACCAATAAAGTGCGCTCTACGTTTTTGTCAGTTTTATTTTTGATAAACATGACACAATATAACATCGCGACTACATAAAAATAGCTTTTACTGTTATAAAAATACAGATTTGTGAGCAGTGGTGGAACTGAAGGTCAGATTAAACACGAAACACAGGGGGTCGTTGTCATGCGGTGAATCTGGCCAATCGTGGAACAGCTGTATCGTCATCAGAGCTGTGCCGGCTGATCCAGGTAAATGTGTGCAATTGTATAGGGCCCCATTCCTATATTTTGCCTGGGGCCCCCAAATCAATGAATCCACCACTGTTTATATATATATATATATAAATCCTTTCAGAATAAATTATGTTACTCCATCAGTATTAAAAAACAAAAACACGGTTTGGAAAATAGATTCATGATGTACTCGCTTATTATTTTGTAATTTTGTAAATTTTGAACACAAAACAAGTTACGGACTGCGGCTTAAAGGATGTTTTTAGCCTTTTTCACACTACGGATAACACATGCATCGCATGGTTGCATAAGTTCCTGCTTTGATAGGAATCACAACTGAAAAAATGAACAATACTCAACAGTGACTTTGAGCAGTCTTTCTTTGAAAACCATTGATCTTAATATGGAACAGAGTACATTTTGTCATTTTATGATATTAAATAGATTAGCCCATATGAAATCCTGTATATTTTTTGCTACAGACAGAGATTTTGTCCCTTGAATGAGGCCTTTACAGTGATGATGATGAGGGGTGCGATATGAGTCCCATGGGTACACAGTTAAGGGTTTGCCAGGCACAGGGAATAGGGTGGGGGTTGGGGTGAATTGAGGGAGATGTGAGATCATGTAAAAGCAGGTGATGTTTTGGCAGAGTGGGCTGATGGAGACATGTGCCGAGGTACTTAAGACTAGCAGGGGGCTTTTGGCCAAATGACATGCTTTCTCAAAGTACATCAGATTTCAGAAGACAGACATTTATTTGACACACAATTTTTGAAGACTCTATCATCTATCACCCTTTTTTTACTTTCTCATTTCCCCTGTTTTATCTTTCTCAATTCTTCTGTTCCTTTTCTTTTATTCTTTCATTTAAGTTTCTTTGACCAAATGAGTCACACAAAGAAACACACAGTGAAGTGTAACTGACTTGTCTGTATACCAATCTTTGGCCCCCATATTGCTGACTCAGTGTGAGGAGTTCAGATAAGCCCCACCTGCTCCTCACACTTCCCTTCTTATCTCTACACTGCACTTGTAGATGCTATGAAACGGTTTCTGAATTTGACACTGTTCAAATTTAGTCAGGTTTCTGTAACTGGCCTACATAAATGTTATTTCTTGTTTAACCCAATGTGATATACACGACAGTTAGGAACTGTAGTCACACAACCAAATGAATATTTTCCAGTATAAAGTTGAGTTAGTAATGGTTAAAGGAATAGTTCACTTCAAAATGAAAATTCTGTCATCATTTCCTCACCCTCAAGTTGTTTCAAACCTGTATGAATTTCTTTCTTCTGCTGAACACAAAGGAACATATTTTGAAGAATGTCTGTTACCAGACAGTTGATGTACCCCATTGCCTTACAAAGAAAAATACTGAAGATATTGCATATATCAGAGCGAACGCATAGCCATGGATATTGAACGCGTGCATCCAGTTTTGTGCTCAAGTGAAGGAAATCCGCCTGCAAGCGGAGAAATTCGTGCTCGTGCATTACATGGATGTGTTCTTGCGTTAGAATAATGTGCTCTCGACACTTGTTATTAAAATAACGCCATAGAAACTGCCTCAAATGAACTATAAAGAAGAGTAGAAAGTTGTGTCTAAATTCTGCATACGCAAGCGGTGCCCCATGCCAATGATTAAGGGTAAGAATCTTTGAATGTATTGGGTTACACTATTTAATCATGTACTTTAACACCTCTCATTGGGACATGACATTACATATCATAAGATAAACATATCCCATCTGTGTGAAGTCTCATCTGTATCTTATTGCTAGCAAGACTTGTATGCCAATGTGTACTCATATGGTCTCTTTTGAAGCAGTCAAGATAACATCAAGAGGCATTTTATTCAAATAAGTGACACTGCAATAGAAGAAACTAGTAGAAACGGAGCTAACAATAAATGAGGATGAAAGTTCTGAAATGAAATGAAAATTCTGACTGAAAATTCTAACTGTTTATGAAAGTCAACGTTCATTGTATGGACAAAAAATGATCTTTTGTTTTCCACAGAACAAAATAAGTCATATGCGTTTGGATAGGGTGTGTAAATCATGATAGAATTGTCATTTTTGGGTTACTGTCCCTTTAAGAGTAATATCTTCAGACATTCAGAGATTAAGAAGAGGCAATTCAACGGATTCAGATCGGACAAAAACACTCACTCTGATGTCTTTATAATGGAAGGCGATGATGAGAATGAGCAGACACCCAGTGGAGAAACTGATGAGACCGTTTATGGAGAGGGCATATATGGATCCCTGGAGAGAACAGACAAAACACAGAGAATGACAGTGAATTATGTTATATAGAGGTTACAGCGTGTTGCTATTTGTCAATGTGAGAACTGAAGAATTTTACTTAAATACAAAAGATATACATTTAATAACTATACTAGCCTAAAGTTAAAGTATTTCACTGTAATTTCTGCTGTTTAATCAATACGTCATGTATGATGCAGGTGCTTTCTTTGTAGAACACGATCAACAATTTAAAAAAAATTCTAATCTTATTTCAGAATTTTTTTTTTTTACAGCAAAAGGAAGATTGTTTTGCTTTGTTTTGTTTGTTATGTGGGGAGGATAAGATGTGAAAATCGGCATCAAGCTTATATGCCATTAGAGGTCAAAACTCAAATCCATTATGCAAACAGGCGCTAATTATGCACTAAATGATGTGGAAAGATGCAATATGACCTTAGGCAGTGTGAGCAACACAAAAGGGAGGGAGACAAAATGTGGAAAAACTTGCATAAATAGCCAATTTTCCTGCATAACCTGTTTTCCAAGAGAATGGTGGGCTTAAATAAATGATCGTGCCTGGGAGATCGCTCTGTTAGCATGTGGTCCTTCTCCATACAAATGCCACTAAAATTCCATAAAACAAATATATGCATTGCTATGCAAATTCCAGAAGAAAATGGGCAAAAATGACATCATTATTCCCATTCTGAAAAAAAAATGATACTATGATAGTTCCATAGATCGGGTTTCTTGTCAGTTTTCTGAGCAGTTTTAAATTCAAACATACTGCAATGACAAACACAATACCCTGAAAAATGTGGCTAATAAACTTAAATGCATTGTGTTACATCAACAAAACTACATTTAAGAGTTTGACCAGGTAGAAAAAGCTCCTTAAGGTAGGAGCCACTTTTTACAGTGTAGTACTAAAGAGATACCTAGATTTTAAATGTTAAGTTGAGCAAGAAAGTTAACTTCAGATAAATCTGATGAGGCTGTTGTACACTTCAGGTTTCTTTGTAAGAAAAGCATCTGCTAAATGACCAACAGGATATCTGATGTCCTGATTTAAGTGTAATTCTGTGAATCCTCTCTGTGGCCAACAGATCATGTTATGCACTAAAGTTGAGCCAGACATGATAAAGTAGGTCTGACTGCTTCACCGCGTATATTGATAAAGATATCAACTGTGGATTTAGCAATACGAGAGAACAGATTTCATAGAGAAAAATCTAACATAGATCAGGTATATAACTCAAGTGGAAGCTTTCATTGTAGCTTATCACCAATCAATGAATGCTTTTGGTTGTATAAAGACTTGGCAACTTCTTGTACACAGTTCAGAGAATATTGGCTTAAATTCAAAGTCTAAACCTACATAACCGTGATAAGCAAGAAACAATTTATAGATATTGAATAGATAAAGTTGCTTTGTTGGTATGGATTGCACATATAGTGTTATAAAAGCTATTCACAAATATTGTTTTTAGAAGAAAAAAAAAGAATGATTTCTTTGTGTAGTGTTCATGTTGATGTGTATGAATGCAACAGCAACATTGAGGAAACAGTATGTAAAGCTTACGGGGGGTAGAGTTGAAGTTTGTTTTGACCGCTCCAACCACCACGGTATGTGGACAGGATAACACGTGAAAATCAGCATAGTGCTTGTGTCCCGTTTGAGGTCAACACTTAAATCCATTATTCAAACAGGCGCTAATTATGCACTAAATGGTGTGGAAAGATGCAATAGGCAGTCTGAGCAGCACAAAGGGAGGGGGAACAAAATGTGGAAAAACTTGCATAAATAGCTGCTTTTCCTGTATAATTTGGTTTCCATGAGAATGGTAAGTCGTCACGGTTGCAGAAGTAGGCTATGCTACATATATATATATATATATATATATATTATATATATATAGGTTTTAGGTAGTATGACCAAAAATAATTAGTAGTCAGCCAGGGAGTAAAAACTCTTCAGTCACTCATGTTGACCTTCAGGGTGAGACTGCAAAAATAGATTAATATAGAGATTATGTGTTATGTAATCAACATTGTTTTATGATTTTTTAAAAATAAAATATGAATACTTGGTTTAAAGGTTTAAATGTAGAACATGTAGAAGCTTTATAATGTTATCAATCATAAATGACTTTTGTTTTAATTTTCTATTGGACACACATTACACTGTAAATATGAGTAAAGAGTTGTTTTTAAAATAAGGTGATGTTTTCAGATGAGTTTTTTTCTCAGAAAAATATAAAGTACATTTAATTAATTATTCAAATCAGTGAAAGTATGAAACAAATGAAAATATGTTTATCAACAAGAAATCACGACAAGATATACTAATTCGTTTTTTAAATGCATTTTAAAAAATCCAAAATATATGTGTCTATATCTTATATAAAAACATCATAATCATGCATTTCTGTAGCTCAGACGGTATTAGAGCATGGTGCCAGTAACGCCAAGGTCATAGGTTCAAATCTCAAGGAATGCATGAACGGATACAATGCAAACTCTGAATGCACTGTAATTCGCTTTGGCTAAAATTTCCTGCTAAATGTCAGACAATAGAAATACTAGTTTGGGACACAACAGGTAATAAGTGATTCCCTGTGTTAATTGGACCTCACTGACCAACAGGTCATTTTATGTGCCAAAGTTGAGAAGGACTATTTGGGGAAGCGTTTTGATAAAGACATCAGCTCTGAATTTAACAGGGGTGGTTTTACATTGGAACTCTTTTTGCGTTGTGCTTTATCTGTATGTTCTGTTTTCAACTTAACATTATTAATGCATCTCTTTCTTGTGGAAATATAAATATATTTGACCAAACAGACCTGCTATATAAAGTCAAGATTATCATTTAGAGATGTTTCCTCTTTTGATCAACCTGCTACCATGGGAATATGACTTGTCAAGTATCTTAACAATGCCCATCATGTGCCAACTGTTAGCTAACATTTAAATTGTTAAAAGTCAAAACAAGATTTAATAGATATATCACTAAATCAACCCTGGTAGGAATAGTGCATTAAGGTAACAACGTTTATCCACTTTTTACAGTGTAACACATAAAAGCATTTCTCTTTAAGATATTACTTGAGCAACGTCATTTAGTTCCCTATACTACAACTAAAGTTTAATATTCCAGCCGTGCGTAATTTTGGAACATCAATTTTTATTGATTTTTTATTTTATTTGTGTACGCCTAAATAAAAGACTCTAAAATAACTAAGAAAATAATTTTCTTTTTAAATCTGGGTGATATTTCCTCTTATTAAATATCATGTTACCCTTCAAAGTCCAGAGCTTATGCTCCATCCATAAATTGCCCCACTTGTCTCAAGCGCGCTACCGTTACCAGTATTTCATTATAGCTGTATACTTACTGGCTGATACACTACTGGGCACAGCTCAGCATGTAATACCATCAGCAGAATGCCTAACAACGCGGTTCCCAGTGCCCACGCGCAGAGGCGCTTCTTGTCCTCCAAAAGGAACTTTCTGTCACGCAGTCTATAAAGATTTCCCCCCTCGATCGGACTGAGTCTCTTCCCCGTGTGAGAGAGCGGTACTCTTATCTCTGTAGTCTCTCCGTTATGGTTGACAAGCCCATCACAGTTTCTGCCATCCACCTTGGTGTCCAAGTGCGCGAGGCGAGCGGTCATCTCCATAGCGCGCTCTTGTCTTCAGTCCACACAGACCTCAGTCGCCTTGTTCTCCATCCTATCCTTCCCCCTCTCCAACCAAAATTTCGGAAGGCATAGCACGTTGGACTCGAGCAGTATTGCGAAGCACAAAGTGAAGTGCGCGCTCCTACCTGCGATATTTCACTCACACTGTACGCGCCTCAACATTTGACTGCAGCCACACGGGTCTGTGGGTAGGCGCTCTGAAACTCTTCACTATGAAGTAGCGCTCTTACGTATGCTGTGGATGGACTACAGCAACTTCATCTTGAAGTAGTGTTGCCTCATATGATGAATGTGACATAAATTAATTCTTTGTTTGTTGCAATTGTAATGCCTGTTACATGCGGAATCTGTTGTTCTTACGTTTGGCAAAGTTTTATATACAGTAGGCTAAGAGTAAGCTACAGTTCAAGATCATGGTATCATGCGACTAAAAGGAAGTTATGGAAATTATGAAGCTCCAAACAAATCACCATACACTGTCAAGTGTTAGAATTACATTTTGAATCTTTGTTCTCTCAGCAAAGCTATAAATAGCCTACATTTATAGCCACTGGGAACCTCTAGTGGGAGACTTGTAGTAGTGCAAGACTAAATGTTTCGTTAACTGCCTAGTGCTCCAATTACACCATGGTACGATGGTAGACGTTTTAAAAATTATTTTAGAGGTATTTGTTTTGGGGTCGCAAACTGTTCCCGCGTGACGCACATTGTCATTTGGTGCTTCTTCTTTTAACAAAATATATTTTTGTTAGGTAAGTTTGTAACGAAGTCATAGCTAATTGTAACGTTTTGTGTTTGTTTGTTCGAGTTTGTTTTTGATCTGTTTTGCTCATGTCTGTGTTTCTATGTTGGTTTTCAGTTTGTTAATAGTTCAGTTCTGTCACTTTCCCAGCCTGTTTGTCACCATGGTCACTGATTATTTTAGTTCTGTTCAAGTGTGTTTAGTTCATTATCCCCCTTGCTGTCTATTAAAGGCCTGTGTTTCTTTCAGTTCTCGGTCAGTTCTGGCTACTTAGTTTTATGTTGGTTGTTCTGTTCCTGATCCTTGTTCCTGTGATTCTGTTTTGTGAAGGATTGAGTTTATTTCTAAATAAAGACTGCTGCACTTAGATCCTGTTTCATCTCTGCTGCAACTGCAACCAACGCTGACACTAATACTTACAGCATTTGTCATGATTGTTAGTGTACCGTCCAATAGCGATTGTAACGGAAAGCGTAAAGTAGCGTAAGACTATGGTTACCAAGTTGCAATAGCCTATTTGTGGTTGAAACATTTTACCTAAATTATATACTTGAGATGTAGAGCCTATATAGTTCCTGTTGGGGGACAAGCCTCAAAATCAAGGTCAGACCCCCATAATTTGCTTGCAGGTAGAAAATTATTATGGAAGTCAATGGGGTCCAACATCTGTTTCTGACATTCTTCAAAATATCTTCTTTTGTGTTCAGAAGAAGAAGAAGGAAATTAAAACAGGTTTGGAACAAACGAGTATAAATGATGGCAGAATTTTACTTTTTGGGTGAACTATACCTTTATCCAACTACTTCCCACAACAGTTGATGCAGTTCCACGCCACGGTAAGCCTGTGATAATTTTTTTTTACAAAAATAAGAAAAAGGTAAACAATTTTTAAAGACTGACAGCTGTTTTAAAGCATTTGAAAATGAGATTCCCTTGTCCAGAAATGAGCAGATAGACCATTTGGAAGATGGAATAAACTGCCACTTCCATTATGAACAAAGGAGGAACAGGAACTCAGAAACTAGACAAGCATGGCCACAAAGTTTGTTGGCCTCTCCTCTTCGTTTACAATCCCACTCCTTCAAACTCAATGAACTGAAGCAGATTCTATTTCTATGCTCAAGTCCTTGCCTGTCTGCCTTTAGGAATGACGTTATGACCTTGGGCCATGTGACGCACTCACCCTATGTGGATCCTTCCGCCAGGGCATCCTGTAGCACAGAACTTACAACAACCATCCCAATAAGTGTTTAGTCCAACTCACTCTAGGAGCCAATGAAGAGTAATACATTTCTAGGACGTTTTCACCATATTTGGCCTGATTTCAGAGGTTAGAAGGTCTTAAAGAGAGGTTACAGAGATCCAACAGTAGGCTTATTTTATAATCAACAATATTATTGATTTAACTGCACTGACACTATTGTTTGAGAACTGAACTGAGATGGCATCACTGTTTTCTGCAGAACTGCTTTATAGATTAAATTAACGAATTTAATTATGATCTTATAACCGTACTGAACCAACACTAAACTGACTTCAGCTGAATAATGACTTTTTTCTTAAAGAGCTGCTGTACAGCCCAAATGCATTGTTGAATCATTTTCCTGTTATCACTGTAAAGCTACTTTGAAACAATTTGTTTTGTATAAAGAACTATATAAATACAGGTGACTTGATTTGACTTTAGACTCCCCTAACTCCAAATTCCATCAAGAGTACTTAGATTTATGGAAAGATTCAACAAAAAGTTTCAAAATATTTGATGTAAATTATAATTCATGACAATATTTATATTTTACCATAAACAAATAAAAATAGACAACTCTTGTTACTGTTTTAGTAATAAAATATATATTTGTAACAGATCAGTTGGACATAGCTTTAAAACAGATCTCATGACTTTTTTGCTCAAACAGAAGCAATAGTTACATTATTTGCATAACAACAAAACATTATATAAAGAATACAGAGAAAGAAATCACAAATAAATATGCATTTGAAGACTGAGCAAAGAAAACAGGCAAAAGTTTGTAAAAGTAGTAAAGGTGTTATAAGTTTAACATACAAAACTGCATACTTGTTTATTATACAAAATAATAAACAAAGCAAAAGTAAAATTCCAGTGTTGAAAGACACTTATATGTTATGATAGTCTCAATTAGTCATAACAGTTTGAAAACTAAATAAACCTACGTAAAAAGGTAGATAATAAAAACAAAATATTTTTAAATAATTTCTTTTGAAATGTATAACAGCACTGGTGAGATGAGGACACTATACACTTTTACATGCAGTTTTACAAAACAGTAGCAGAAGAAAATCAATTATTTACAATCAAAACATCAAAACTGCAGCAAATAAAAGATAATGAAATGTGGAAATATGGCTTAAGGCAATGTATACTAGCCCCTAGTGGTATTGGAATAAATTACAATAAAATTATCATTACCATTTAGCAAAGGTAAAATTGTGCACAGAATCTAGCATACGGTAATTAATTAAATAACATTTATTATTATTATTAATGCAGTCCTCTCTACGTCTTGAGTAGATATGATTATTCTTAGTAAAAGTGAAAAAGGTTCATTCACATTAGTCAGGAACTGTATCTAAACGCAGCAAATTTGAAACCTCATCCACACAGCACAATTTGGCTTCAGTATGAGTTGATTTAAAAAAAAATTTGTATAGAAAAGGGATGCTTGGTGTTTTCAGAGGTATTGCTGACTCTATAAACAACTCAGTCTTGAGCTGAACTGCTGGTAATATTTTGTGAATACTATTAAAGATTTTCTATTACATGAAATACCTCTCAAACATTCAAAGTTCCCAAAACATCTAAACGTTCAAAACAGAAGTGGGTGGAAAAGCTGTGATTTCTATTTCGATGAATACAAATTTTCAAGTATGCAGCAAACAACTTTCGCAGAGTTGAGAAAAAATTCCTCTACCGTTTTTGATCAAGTAATAACAGATTGAGTGTTTTGTGCAAGAGCAGTTTGAATATATTGACTGACCAAAGAAAATCTAAATAACTATGAAATAGGTCAAAAGAGAAAATATACGACTAATATCAATAAAAAGTTAAATAGTTGGCATCATGCTAACGATTTCATTGTGATAAGCTATAAAGTTCCCTGCAGAATGGCAGATACGTTATAAATATACTCTAACATACCCAGGTGTATGTGCTAATGGGTTTCGAGCTCTTTACCCTTTCACTGTCCCCCAGGTTTGCAGGGTAGCGTGAGGCACAATGAACTGAGGAGGGGCTTTGGGTACAACATAGTAAGCGAACAAAGGAGAAGGAGCCGGTGGGCATACGGTCGTGAAGAACATGCCTCTCTTTTTCTTGTACTGAGGCCACATCGGTGCAGGGTTGTAAAAGTACTGCGGGCCAGGGACCTGTTAATGACAGAGAAAACATTTTACAATGTCAGTTTTAAGACTTGTCTTAGGCCTTTTATTCAAAGGTATCGTAGTTTGTGTTCAAAAAGTGCAGAGAAAACAAATCTAGCAAGAAGTGAATATAAAAACAGTTGGTTTCTAAAATAGAGGAAGAGGTGGATGGGTTTTTTGCTCTTGCTAGTAATTCCAACATTTCAGCCTTCCTCACTCAACTCGAGTGTAGTTTGCCGAAGTGAACTTGTAACAATGCATCATGGTATTTACCTGAGCTGTAGGAAACTTGCGTTGCCCTTTTGGCTCCCTTGCTTTAAATCTCGTTGTATAAACTGTGTTCTCCACTGTTCTCTTCTCCACTTTTTTCATTTCGTCCTCTTCTGTATCACTTGAGACTGCTGAGCCGCAGTCAGATGAGGTCGCTGAGTGGTAGTCCGATGTATCCGGATTCACAGAATCCACTTGGCTAAAGGTGTCATCCTTATTCAAGTGCTTTACATCATCCACGACTTTAGCAAACTGAGCCACTGTAAAATATCTGCCGTTCTCCCCAGACCTGTGGGAACATATGAATGTAAATCATTACTTTAATATAACTAGTATTAGGGTGTGTCTGTTCACACTTGATTCGATTAAAACGAACCCTAGTGCGATTGCTCTGTTAGTGCGGTTCATTTGAATAAGTGTGAACGCTGCCATCCGAACCCTGGTGCTCACCAAACATGCGAACCGAGGCTGCCGAAAGATGGGTCTCTCGATCCGCTTCCGAACCAACTCTGGCGCAGTTCGAATGATATATCACGAAAAACAGAACATGATGTCACAAGATGCGACCCTAAAAAGGACCGAATGCTCAAGCATACCTGTTTTTTCTCATCATAGTTGCGATGTTGTCCATCAGTTTGGTACAGGCATCAGAACTGCATCTCTTCGCAGCAGATCGTTTGTGTATGTGACAGAGGGATTCCTGCCGTTATTTTAACTCCTTTTCACATTTTATAAGCTCTTCACGAGTTCTCAGCTGGTCAAAATACCATTATGTAAATGAGGATATTTATCTCAGCACACAGATCGTTTTGGACGCTAAGCGGACCAGGACTAAATGTCCGAACCAAGCGAACCGAACTACAAGTGTGAACACACCCTTCGATCGCACTACACAAAAAATATCATATTCATAAAAAGGCCTATAGAAACAGTTCTTCTTTAATTTATCAAACAAGCATTTCATTAAAATATCATTCAACTTACCGCACACACACCTCCAACGGGTCGATCCACATTGTGATCTCCCGAGGAAAGCCCAACTCCCTTGGCTTTAAGCCGCTCTCCATGCATGCTTGTGATACTGATTCATCCCAGGGAATTCTGTCATTTATTCTGATGCATCTGAGAAATCCAGGAGAGCGTAAAGAAGTTCATATTGTAAATGGTTGCTATGCTTTCAGATATTATGTTATGTATAGTATGAATAATTTCCACTTTGACAACAAATGAAATGATTTCTTCACTTTTTTGACTGAAAGCAGGCATGAGCATGCAAAAGTTTGTGTCCAGTTTGACTTTTTTAAAGAAGATTTCTATTGCAAATAAATGCTTCTTTGAACTTTCTAATAATTAAAGAATCCTGAAAAAAATCCATTGCTGTTTCCAGACTAAATATTAAGCAGCACAGCTGTTTTCAACATTGATAATAATTAGAAATGTTTCTTGAGCATCAAATCAGCATATTACAATTATTTCTGAAGGATCATGTGACACTAAAGACTGGAGTTTTGATGCTGAAAATTAAGCTTTGCCAGCACAGAATAAATTACATTTAAAAATATATTAAAAAAGAAAACATTTATTTTTAAATTGTAAAAATATTTCACAATATTAGTGTTTTTACTGTATATTTGATCCAATAAATGCAGCCTTATTAAGCATAAGAGCATAAAAATATTAAATAAATCTTACCAACCCCAAATTTTGAATTATAATGTATATTGAGATAATGCTGACAAAGCTTTTTTACATCGTATTTATTTCATATTGCCTTGATCGGTGCATTACTACGATAAAAGGAAAGGACACGTTCGGGTCACTTAGTTTTGTCGTGGCCATGACTTTAATGCTTAAACAAACTTGCCATAACAACCTGGCATTATGGAGATTATCAAAAAATAAACTTTTATTTTGAATTAAGAATAACAATGCGACATTAAGACATGGCTAGGGTTACCTGTACGCCTGTCCTTTGCTGGGGTTGTCTGGGTACCAGTGGTCTGAGAACTTTTCAAGCAGAAGCTCTTGTAATTTAGTAGCGAAAAGTTTGGCTTTAATTTGATCCACACCTCCACGCTCCACTGCCAAACCTTTTAGAAAGTTTACCCCAGCACTCACTTCTCTCTTCATTCTCGCCACTGAAAAAAAAAGGAAGAAAAAAAAACATGAAAAGCTGAAATTCCACTTTGGGACTATTATATTCAGAAACCACAAAGTTAGGACATAATAATCTCTGATTGACATCCGTTAGTTAAGTCGAAAAGTTCTAGCATTCTTATTAAGAATATTGTATTCAGTGTAAAAGTGAACTACGCAAAATATAAAGCAAAATGCAGGCCTGAAAAAAGCATGTTCTTTTTGGCTTTTTTAAGGTTCAAATAAAAGCATATTATTTTTCAGTCACTAGCCAAAAAAACATGTCTTGTCAAATAAATAAATTCCCATGTTTAACCACCACCTGAAACATCTACCCGTTTGTATAGGTCAATAGTATAAGCATCTCTGATAGGGAACTTCCCTAAGCAAGGGTTTCTCTTTCCTCTGACACCTGTTGAAACTGTGTCAGCTGTTACTCAGCTACACCACAGTATAAAGACTTTATACTGACAGAATGCCACAGCCATATTTTGCATTAAAGGCAAATAAGATGCAAATAAGGAAATAGAGTTGCTCTTTTTCCAACAGCATATTTCTAAATAAGGTTTACAGTTGTAAATTAAGATAGATAGAAGTGCAAATAAACATGCATCCTTTGGACCCACAATGCAAATTAGTGTTATCGTGCTATCATGTTATTATCCTTTTTTTCCTTAAGACATTATTATGCGGTCATATACTGATGTTCTTTAGCCTAAACTCTCACTAAGAAAAATAAAATGTGTAAAAATTTTAACTGAGTAAATTAAACCATGTATAAGTTTTATTATTCAATTCACAGTTTACTTTGCGAAACATGCTGACCTACTTATGACAATTCATAAGTCTTTGTATTCTGTTTAATTCCAAGAAGAAGAAAAATCGGATTTACATATAATATTTATATATAACATTAATTAAACCAAATTAACAAATATCTGCCACTCTAAACATGCTGACTTAGGTTGTTGGATTATGCAACCTTTAAGGAACACGCTATGAGTCTACTCAGACATTAGTCAGAATGCTGACACAATAATACGTCATTCAAGAGTAAGTCTGCACAAGGGGCTCAGATTAATTCTATTTTCCACCTACACCTCAAACTCTTGGGCTACTTGGAGATCATTTTAGGCATGTGTTCTCAAAAGGCAAAGTTCCAGACAATAGGGGGAGCGGGGCACAAACTAACGCAGGGCTAGTTGTAACACACTTGTTTTAAATAGGCTACTTCCACACATGCTAGCATGACGAAACTTAGTGTATTTACTTTGTTGCCATATCAACACTATAAAGAGAAAAAAAATTCAGAAATCTTTGGAAGATATCACTGAACATTTACTTAACCATAGCAAAAGTAAATTTCATACTTATGTTAAAGCTGCAGTCCGTAGCTTTTCCTCTTTGTCGCCATCTCTGTTTGAAGTCTGCAATTGCAGTCATTCGCGGAATTGTTAATTTTACGTGAGTTGTACATCGGCATGAAACAGCGCGGATGAACACAATGTTGTGAGGAGAGTGCGCGTCGCAGCTGTCGGTCACAGCGCCGGTGTGGATAACGTTACTGGCATTCAGAATCACACATTCTACTTTTTGGAAGTACAGGATGACCAACATAAGAATTTTCACCGGAAAATGTCATCTGAACAAGTAAGTAACATTCACTTTTGTTCAGATCAACTACAGGGAAAATGCATTGATTGCACAGCAGTAAATCGCGCTGATTAAATCTAACGATCGCTTATCATGTCGAACCGTGCAAATTATACTTTGTTCTCAAATTGTTAATGTTAACAACATCAGCTTTGCGTGACTGCTACATTTAATGTGTTTTATGGTTACCTGTAGTTCAGAATTCATATTCTCCATAATAGCTAAACGAGAAAGGCACAACAAAGGAAACTCCATAACTGTGTGAATTAAGCAAACAATTTTGGTACTGTTACACGATTGAACTATTGAAATGTCTTACTTGTCCAGCAGAAAAAAGCGTCTCTTCTTCCGTTTTGAACCCCTTCAAAACACGGAGTTCACGCACCAAACGCCCTGCCTATGTTCCTTGTGTTCACATGAGACGGTTGCTGTCTTTCTCTAGCCACTTTAAATCCGAAGTACGAAGTCTTTTGGGTTTTATAACGGGTGAATCTCCAGTTGACACTGATTATTGTCGTTTGACCCTTTCTGGATCCGCCATAAGTTCAATTATGTAAAGTGCTGCGAGAAAAGGCATCTCTACTCTCCCCAACGTCAACATCCTCACGCGCAGTATAGCTAGCCGAAACTCCTTCTTTATGTGTATGGATGTGACGTAATGACACAAAGACATGCTCGAATTTCCCGCGGAAACCCACCAGTACCACTGGAAATAAAATCATTATTACAAGCTAACCGTTTTGAATCGAGCTACGGCAAGCAGATAGTTTTGAACACTGGCTGAATATGTTTTTTTTAAAATAATTATTTTGGATTATTTTTGACTTGAAAAAAGTTACGGACAGCAGCTTTAATTTTTTATCTCTATTTTTGTTTTTTATTTTAAATTAGACAAATCTGATATTATTTTAATCTCCAATATGTTATTTTACAGTTGACATGGTTCTTTAATGCTTCGCTAACTGGCAGAAGACACTAGCAGGGTTTAAATCCCAGTTGAGCAGGTGGGGCATGTTGTAACACTGCGTTACAATGTGCCCCTATTAGAACTATGCTATTATTTTCTATACTTTTATGAATTCTATTGAGAAAACATGAGAAAAGGGTGAATAAAGACTGATAGTCAATGTTCAGACATTATTAATTATTATTATGTTTTTAACTATGTTATGTATAGCTGTGTTTTCTGATGTGTTCGTTGTCAAACTCAAAAAACTATTTTATTTTTAATTATTAAAAAATACCATTATTTTATATGAAAAAAGTTAATTATATTTTATTGAGAAAATATTTTAGTTTGTCTTGTATATTTTTTTGAGTAGATCAGATAGAATTTTAAGCTGTCATATGGTCATGTTACAATGTGCCCCTCACATGTTACAATGGGCTACCCCACCTATGGGCCTTGTTGTCACATTTCACGTCCATTCTTTCGGCGTTGTATTATATCAAGAAAAAAGTATACACTGTATTAATAAAACCACATAATTGTACTAGACAAGTGTGAAATGAATGTGGAAAAAATAAATAGCTACTCTGAACCCTAAGTAGATTTAGACAAACTGAGAAAGTCAAAAAGCGTTCGGCTCCATCCATCCATTTTCCAAACCGCTTGTCCTATGTAGTGACGCGGGGTGTTGTTTACAATAATCAAATTCTACTCTATTATTACAGTCTATTAAAACCGATATGTCTATTAAAAAGTAAGGTATGAGCCCATTACTGTATAAAGGACTAAAAAACGGAGCGCATCAAATAACTTATCTTCAGTCACGTGCTACACTTGCACCACATGCAATACTAAAGATGTTCAAGCAAGCGGCTGGGAAAGTGCATCATCGGAAATTCCCAACGAAAAACCCCCAAATCGTGTGTGTATTTTATATATATATATATATATATATATATACGGTATATATATATATATATATATATATATATATATATATATATATATATATATATATATATATATATATATATATATATATATTTAGGTTATAGTGTAATAATAGTGATAGTGTTTATCATTTCCAGATTTTTTTAAAAATATTAATATAATGATAATAATGGTGCTAACCAATAGCAGCAACAAGCCTACGATCAAGATAATCAGAGTTTAACATTTTACATAGCCTACATCACATTTATGTTTTGGCAATTTTACAACTTGATCCATTTTTCAACTCAATATCTTAAGAACAAATACGAAAGAAAATAAATAAGAAAGAAAAACTTCAACAATTATTTTAATAATAAATTATTCTTAAGGCAATTCCTTACCGATATAAGATTAATCCAAAATGACTCGATGTTTCGTTCTTTTTAGTTCTACTTCCTCAAAACTGTTATATGTCCAAATAGGCTAACTTGAGTAAGCACGTTGCTTCCTTGTTGTAGTCGGTTATTGTAGTACACCAGTGTTCCACGTTTCTTCATTCGTGTTGGGGTCGGTCGACCAACAAACACGTCATTTTACCGTCAGTGATTAGCATATGACTCACTTCCTTGTCCATACAGTACAGCTTTACACACTTTTTTACTACAAGCATAGCAGTCATGACTCATGTCTGTTATTATGGCGCTGATTCACCTCAAACCCAAATATGGTCATTGCTAGTGTGCTAGGAAGTAAGATTAAGGTTTATGATGATTTTTAATCCGTATTCATCAATGCTATTGTAGATGTAGCCAACATTTTTATTTTGTTCTTGGTGTTTAATAAAAAATAAATGAAAAAAGGCTTTTATGATGATTTTAGGTAGACATTGTAAAATATTATCTATTAAGCTTATAGGGTTTTTTTTCTGTTGTGTGTGTTGAGTACATCTGTTGCCTAATAGTTTAGATTAGTTTAATAATATATCTTTTTTTAATCACTAAACCTGATTTTTGAAGCGTGTTAAATTATGATTTGTACAAGAATTGTAAGAAAGGCTTAAAAGAGTATGTATACCAAACACAAAAACAAAATAAACATATGGCTACACCAATCATCAAAACAAGAAAAATATACAGTTAATAAATAAAAAACATTTTTAGAAGTTATAATGCGATTAATAAATTATGATGAAATTAGCCTATAAATAATCAAGTTCATAAAAAGAAAGTGAGGTGTGTAAGTAGAGTCTCTTCATTAATATAGTATTATATATACCTAACCATTATATAGTGCCATTGAACCAGCACAATATGAAAAACAAGATCGGTTTGGAATAGAATTGCATGACTTCAGGACTGATCAACTGTTGATGGAACTTCTTGAACTTCTCCTGATGTGCAGCAGATGGCAGAATTGATCCCTTCTTTTTTCTCTCACTTCTGCTGCTTTCTCTTCTATTGCCCTCTGGGTAAGGATATGATGTTAGAGCGGGTTCATCAGGCTACATGTTAGATCAACTTGCTCAAACAGCCTATAGAAAACAGCATGAGATAAATGGTATCATTGATATCATACACAGTCAGATACAGAATGTCCCAGATGCTAAATGATATGCAATATCTAGAACTATAAGAAAGGGAGGTGGACAACAATTTAAAAAGAGAAAGAGGATCAGATGGTCATAACCAATATTCAATACAATTTTTATACTGGCAGTGCAGTCATGAGTATAATCAACCTGCCTCCATGCAGTAACTGGAATTCAAGAACAAAATGGGAAAACAGTGTGATTTCTCCTCATTTTCTCCTTCTTCCATTGTCTTTTCCTGCATACATTCTTGGCTCCAGATTCCTTGTCAGTGGGTGATTCCGGTCCTCAGCTGGTGGACTGATTGGATTTTTCCTGGATGCATTTGAACAAGCAATTAATTTGGTCAAAGAGCCATGGGTGATTTGGCATCCCACTTGAATTAAAAGTGTGATGCATTCCTTTGACCTGGCACCTCGATCAGCCCTTGAGAGGTTGGTGTTATGTGAATCATAAGGAAGGAAACCATACTTGGTTCATTTGCATATGATTCATATTTTTTCCCAATATGAACTACGTCTTGAATGTGACATTTTAGCCATTCCATTGATGATTTCCCCAAACACTGTGTCTCTTATCAAAATATTTTGTTTGTTTGTGCACCCCAACTAGCCCAGCAACAGTGGCTCAACCAATGGCGTGAGTTTGGGGCGGGGCAATCTGTTTGACTGACCAATTGCAGAAGCGGGGAGTCTTCTGTCATATTTTTTTTTTGTGCCATTTTAGGAAATAATTATTTATTTTGGTAAGAATTTGTGCCAGTTTGACTAAAATGCCAAGTTACACACTTTTTTGTTTTAGTCCCGTGTTTTCCCAGAGGCCCAAAAGTACTTGGCTTATTATCTATGGAGTTACTTTTGTGTCTTTTTTATGCAATCAAACATACTGCATTGCAAAACTAATTATATTGCAATTAAAAAAAAAAAGATTGCAAATGTTTTGAGATGCAGCCTAATTTGCAAGCAAAACTTTTCAACTCGCAAGCAAAGATATTAGACCTGCAAAAAAAAAAAAAAAATGACACCAGAACAGAGAGCAAAATGTATGGGTACATTGAAAAGCACAGGAACTGCATAAACGAAAGAGAATTTATTTGAAATGCAAAGAGTTTTGTTATCAATTACTTTATTTTTGTCATTAAAAACAGTCTTAAGAAGACTTATTATTTGCAATCTTTTCTTTTTTTAATTACAATATAATACATTTTTGCTCTCAAACACAGTATATTTGATTGCATAAAAAAGACACAAATTGATACAAAGTTATTGTATCAATTTCTAAAGTACTCCATAATTCCACAACAATAACAGAGGTTGAAAAGTAGCTTGATGGTTATTTCTTTCACTTATTGCTACCAAGGCAAAATGGATCATATTACTCATATTAGAAACCACAGGTGCTTAAAGGAAATTATCAAGGCTATTCTTTGTTGCCCAGCTTGAGCTTTGCAGCAATAAATGACTTCTACACTGGCACATAATATCTGAAGGTAGTGTATAAAAATATAAAAACTAAATAAATATTAAACAAATATTAAAATAAAGATTTGTATTGTAAATTGCTAAATAAATTGATTTGTTTTGCAATATAATTAGAGCTGGATGTACTGTATATTTTAATAATAATAATATTTAAAAATGTATCATTTTCATAATTTATTTGATTATGTGTATTTTTATATCTTGAAAATAACCACTTCAGAATCCATTTTGTATCATTGAAGTCCAAACACAAACGTTGTCTGCTAGTTGCTTCACCTTTAAAAATGTATCGATTTCCCGGGCTCCCAGCAAGCTTAATGCAATCGATAGCGATGGCCTTTCAAGATCGGCATCAGTATAAGCATACCATCCTCTCATGCACAGTTACCTCTACACAGCCACACACACACACACACACACACACACACACTCCCTCTGTATCCCCCTCACACCCCCAGGTAATGATTGTCCTTGGGTAAAAGAACAGTTTGTCTGCATTAGGAGTGAAGTGTTCCTAATGGGATTGTTCTCCCACTCTGGTAATGATGTTATGTATGAAGGGCCAGTTTACTTTCTATAATGAAGGTGAAAGAGATTGCAGCACAATTCTCTTTGACCTCTGTTGTCTACCCTGTCTTTTCTCCCCCTCCCTTCCATCCCAGTGATCCCACCTCTCACCAATTCTGAAGCAGATCGATAGTTGTTTAGGTTTGCAGTGTGCTCAAAGATCTGCCTCGTTGGTTGTGTGGAGATAATGTGTGGTGTGATCTGTCCTTGTTACTCTGTGTGAGGGCAATCAAAAGAGGTGAGACTGTGATTTTGATTACTTTTGAATGGTTGCTCAATGTCATCAACAGTGCAAAGCTCTGTTGGTCTTTACATACGTACTGTATAATACTACTACATGTGCTGAAATGCAAGTATTTTGTGAAATTGCAAGTAATAATTGTTATTTTGGCAAGTCCAACGAGTTCCAGTTGTGATAGGGGTTGTGACATTTCAGCAAAAGTTCAAATAACAGAACAGCATAATCAGTTAATTGTGCCGAACCGCAAGAACCTCTATAGAAAACCAAAATAATTGAGAGAAGACCACCCACAAAGCGAGGTGCTTCATTCACCAACTGACATGACAGCCATTGATCACCATGCATTTCATTGTATGGAAAAGAGGAGATTTCTCTCAAAATGATTGTGAGTCTTGTTCAATTTACTTAATTAAAATTAGATACCGAAACCATTATTGAATGTTAATTTGTGTGCAGTCCACTTATATTTGTAGCTAAAATGGAATCTGCAAAAACTGGAAAGGGGATTTGTAGTCCCAGCATGCGTTGCAAGGTGTTTTGAATAAGTAATACTAATTAGGCCTACTCTAGTATGAATGTTGTTTTAGTATGAATGTAATCCGGATGAACTGCATCCGCCATGTTGTCATTATCATCATCATCATGTGACCTACCAGCGTCAGGTGCGTTCATTGCCATTTGTATTTATAATCCTCTATTATGGCCTCATGGATAGTAAACTGTCGATCGTATTTACACCACAGAATCTCGCTGGAAGTCATCCGGGTACTTTTTGCCCACTCTTTTATGAGTGATGTGAATTCAGACATACTTCTTTCGTCACGCGATTTCGGATGCAGCCTATCTTTCCCGCTCATCGGAGGTGGAGCTAGACGCGAGGAAAGGAAACGGATTCACGAGAAATGAGAAGAACCCATTTGACATCGTCATCTAAGTAAGTGTAAGAGATTCAAGTGAGTTATTTTGACATGATGTAATGGTTTACTTTGTTTTTAACTACACATGGGTTGGCATTAGGCAATTAGCCACGCCTCCTTCAAAACACATGAACGCGCACAGAGTCTAGCATACGTTTTTTTTTTTACCACATGTGTCAAAGGAGCATATAACATTACAATAATAACGAACGTAAAAAAAACTTACAGAGTTTTTACTTGTACCACCTAAATGCTGCATATTCATTTCGGCGTTGATATAGTGTTAAATAGAAATGCAAAAATCCGAGTCTGAGGATGTGAATAGCTCCAGCTAGAATGTCACGTGTACGGTTATGACACGGTGTGAATGCAGCATAAGCTAGTTGTTTTGGTTCAGGAGGAATATTAAGGCGGCTGCTGTTTGTGTCGCTCAGTGACTGTCTGTCTACAACTCTGTACAGCCTAATGCCTGTTACAGACTGTACGATTTCGGCAATCCTAAGATCATTACAAATCAAACTGCACTTTGGCAATTGTGGTTCTCTTACGAGAGGTTCTCTCGTATTGCGTAAGCTAGCTTACGCTGCGGGAAAGATTCATCTTTGCTGAGATATTGAAGCCAAAAAATTATTTCATAATTTTGTATCCATACACAACGCAGTTCCTCTGCGGCAGACCTAGAGCGGGCTAGCTA